AATCACTTTAGATAGATTAGATTAATTAATGATCCTGCTTTACATAGACAGATACTAGCTATTGAACAGGATCTCATTCATGCACAGTCCCATGGTAGGACAAAAACACCAAAGCATATAGGACTATGCATGGCCATGCGTCATATTACGACATCAAAGGATGTTATTACAATGTCAAATTACCAGGGGCACACTGGTAGTTATGACGAGATTGAACGATTGGACACTGGACTAGCTGAAAACCAGTTATCACAGTTGAATGAACAAGGTGTTGTCTTGCCATCAAGCATATATTTAGGGTATTTTATACAAGCAGCTGCTGATAACCTGGACTTCAATGAAGAGACACTTGATGGGAAGGCGACAACCCACTCAACAACAGTGGTGTTATACCAAGAGACTTCTACTAGCTTACCAGAAATCCAAATTCAGAGCCCACAGACACCAATACCAAGACAGTGGAGGAAATATATCTGCAACTCTTTAAACAAGAGCAACTTAGTAGAGTTCTTATCCCAGCAATGGCTAGAAATAGCTAAAGTAAGTTCTTTATGTGGGAGGTGGTTTCCAAAGTAGACTGACAACATGTGCTGCATACCAAGGTATCGAGAAAGACATTCCAGAACTTAGCTGTAACCACGACGAGGCAGATACGAGGATACTTTTCCATGCTGAACATGCAGGCAGAGACCATCCATGTTTAATTATAAGGTCACCTGACACTGACGTATTTGTACTCTGTACGCACTTCTATACTGTTATGGGGTGTGCAGAACTTCGGTTCCATATAGGAGTTGGTGATAAGCGACATTACATACCGATCAATAGTTCATCTCAAAGTGTTGGATCTAGAATTACAAACTTATTACCAGGTTTCCATGCACTAACAGGCTGTGATAGTACAAGCAGTTTCTCTGGAATAGGCAAACTATCTGCATGGAAACTCTTACTCAAGGACCCAGAGAAGTTTTCAAAACTTGAAAAGCTCCGTCAATCAATAGATCAAGCTCCAGA